AAAGTCGTGAGTAAACAAACAGGAACGCAAGGGAGCAACCGCACCACAAAAAGGAGGGGGGGGGCGGGGAGGGCAAGAACAAGCAAACCGAAGAGGGGGAGGGGGGGGGGGCAGAGGCCAACGGAATAGGACCAAACACAGGGTTGTTGATGACCAACACATCAAAGAAAAAAGGGATAAGAGGTTATAAATGCGGCGTCCACCCATCAAGACGGCCCTAGAACTGGGTTTACAAAAGACTGCGCACAAAATCGCTGGCAGGAGCGGGCAGTCAAGGTATGAAGGATTGATATTAGAGATTGTAGGGATAGAAGAGGAGTGATGTTCTGCCGGCATTAGTTATAGGGTGAGAAGTTGTATTCAGGCGTTTACTTGTTGGCAGACCATGATTGAGAACCAAGTTTTTGGTGTTCCGGCCCGAACGCGCGTGTCAAGTTAGATAACAAGGAAAGACTACTATGCAGCACCCAGCGCAAGGAAACGATAACACAACGCGGTGCACTCTTTTCCTGGTGTAAAAAGAGGTTCTTACACAATGCAATGGAGGAAAAAAATCCATTTTGGGGTTCCGAAAAGCGCAAATTTAGTGTTGCTCCGGCATGCAGAGTGTAATCTTTCAGGGAAAGCGCTACCGACGGAGAAAAGGGGAACATACAATCATACAACTGGTAGCTATAGCGAGACGAGACGGTACAACACCACACTATTATCAGAACAGGAAAACACCTTCATCATAAACAAGAACAACTTCGACAATAAAGATGGCCACATAAAAGGTCAAACAGCAAAAAAAAGTAAGAGTATACTTGCTAAAAGAAATAAAGATAAGAAATAAGAGAGTAGAATTGAATCATCACCTTCATCTACGTCAACTGAAGCCTTGTGGTTAGAGGGAGCTGAACTTTGGTTACCTAAAAATGGAAAGATAATGTGCCTGAGTTCAAAGTGTAACATTGAAGTGGATAAAAACAAGTACAAAGGTTAGTGAGCATGAAACCCTGACTTTGTTTAACCTTTATTTTTCTTTATAAAAAATTTTTATTTTACACATCACAAGCAAAGTTCAATACGAATTTCATTAATTATGTGAGCGCTTGTAAAGGGGGATAGACAATTGGCTTTGCTTAACAAATAATAAAAGAGCCAAAAACCAACCTATCAATCTTAATAGGGACCACAATCCGATTTTCATGAATTTTGACGAACTACAACATATTTTCACACACTAACCCGTACATACACTATATGGACATGTTTAATGAAAGCAATTTCCACTCTTTTACATGTCGGAACTATAAATGTAGAATAATAATAGAATGACACATGTATAGTCAAGATTGAAAGTTAGTTATGTCACAGGAACCACCACATCAACAATTATTTGCATTATGTTTAATTATATTCAAATATTGGTCTCATGAGCACATATTTATTATGTTTATTCAGCACAAGAGTTTCTCAGCTGATATCTTCCATGTATTCATATATCAAAATGTTCAGCTTTTATTTTATAACAGTAATATTAATGGACTTGGTGGGCGTTTAGTTCAGCTTATTTTTGAAAAATAATCGCTTTCTTTTTGCTAGCTTTCTGAGAGAGCTTTTGAACAAAAAATCAATTACTTTCAGGGAAAAACTGTTACCGGATATGGGCTTAGATCCCCCTTACATTCAATCACAAAATGCAACCAATGTAATTATTTTCTACATTAAATTATGAGAAATGGGCTTAGATCCCCCTTACATTCAAGCACAAAATGCAACCAATGTAATTATTTTCTACATTAAATTATGAGAAGACAATTATTGGGTATTTTTTTTAAAATAAGAATAGACCTACCAAATCCAAAAATGCTTTGACTGCTTGAAAATAATCCAGGACTCCATGAACTAGAAAAACTTGTAGGAGTTGTAACAGGAGTAAACCCAGTTTTTTCTCCAAAAGATTTATTTTCTTTGTTTACTACTTCAGGCAAGAGTTTTTTCGCAGAAAAAGCAGCACCAGCATCAGCAACTGAATTTTCTGGCTTGGATGCATTTGCTTTGAGCCAGTTGACAACATCACTGAACTTTTCCTGAAATAATACAAAATTACAAGGTCAATTTATTTACGCCCAAACTCAGAGGGCTAAGGCAGCATCATAATTCAAAATTAAAAATGGACATGTAGGTTAATACTAGCTCGAAGAATTAGAGGAGCAAGAAGCCAAGAGAAAGAAGTGGCAAGTACAGATGCTCCTGTACAGCCATAGCCGCTATCCCACCAGTAAATTCAGAGGCAGGTAAGAGGTGAAAGTTTTATAATATAGATAGAAGGTCCAAAAAAAGAAAGCATTTTACACTTGTCATTGCTCACAAAACAAACGTCAACAACTACTAAAACAAACAAAAATGATATTTTTATCACCACTAAAGGTTACTTCTCATGTAGAACTCCAGTATTCTCATAAATGTATGCATGTCTGTTAGAGTGCATGCATCTATTTCAGTGCAACATGCACAACCACTGATGAAATAATACTATTAGATATGGGATCAGCTTCCTATAAAATGGTATCTTCAACAACACATTAATAGAGAACAGATAGTAAAACCAAGTAAATTTAAATACAAGTGACATATGACTTGAGTGAACTAAGTCACTTAAGGAATTACCATAATGCTTGAAGCATGATTTAAGTAATCTCTCACACCGTCTTCCCAAAGCTCATCCGGATGATTCTTTAGTTGCGTTTGAACCCAACTGTGAGGAAAACACATCATAACAAGGAGTGGTTATGAGAGAGCCAACATGACATTCACAATAATGGAAATGCAAAATCCTTAAACCTGGACTACTACGTTACCACTATAAAGACAACATGCTTTATAACAACCACCACCAAGTAAGCCAAACCAAAAGTCCAGAACAAGGTATAAATCTCATTGAAAGAAAAATTGAAATGTGGGAATCAGGCAAAAAATAAACTTTGACATAATATAAAAGATGAACCTTGCAAATTGGGTATTTAAAGCTCTCACATGCTGCTGTGATGACTCAGCCCGTTTCATATCCAATGGTGGTGCTGTCACCGTTGGTTGTTGAGATGGTTCAGCCCTATGAACATCAAAGAGGGATCCTTCCATTATTCTTTTATTCCGGAACTGCATCTGTGAATGAAGGTAAAATAAGGACACTTATTATTTCTCATATAAAATCTTCAAAAGTTTTCAGCAAACAAGGGGTGTCAAATCTCATTGCCTAAAAATGATATTTCCAGCTTGCCCTTGAACCCAACGTTTAGAAATTGAATTGGGAACATGAATCACAGTCATCACTGATCAAAAGTCGCACTCACAAAAAAAGATATACTTAATTTTTAATTATGCATAAGGCTTAAACTAGACCAGTAAGGAAAGAGCAAAACATAAAACATAAACGATCCAGCTCTAATTCCTACCCATCTCCCTCAAAACTGCGACTGAAGACCTAATGACTTCAGAGGCTGACAGACAAAGATGCTCAATAATCAGAAGTACGTTTGAAATAACCAGTTTTCTAACCAGCTATCAACCATTCTCCCACTTCCAATCTTTATTGCTCTTGAATCTATGTTGCCAACGATTACTGAATTATAAAATAGGGAGACACTCTTAGAATGCTAATAGCAAGCATCTTCATAACCCATTATGCGGACATACAAAGCTAGATAAATTTACAAAAAACAAAAGAAAATGAATAAATACACTTCTCATAGTTGAGAACGAGCTCACAAATTTTTGTTCTATTCAAAATTGGGGAAATAGTTGAAGCTAAAGCACAGCACATAAATAAAATTAATTAAACTGCGATAACGGTCACATACTTACCGGTGCTTCGTTACTCTCGACCTGGTTGGGCTCTGACACAGCCAAACGCTTTGAACCTTTCATCATCGATTTGGGGAAATAGGGTTTTTCAGATAATTAACGGTTATGCAGAGGCTGGAACAGAAAAAAAATCGACAGTATGAAGGACAGTACACATGGAAAGGCTCCTTTCTCTAAAAGGGGGCACTTTCAGAGACTAATAAATAAAATACAAAAAAAAAAAATCAAACTATTTCTCAAAATTAAATGCGTGAATTGGGTCCGTTGGATCGAATGAGAAGCTCACTTTAAATACAGACCGTTGGATGCCTTGATTAGGGTTTTCATTCACATGGTGCACATGCTGTCCTAGTGGCATGTCGACACGAGTGAGGGCCACATGTAGGCCTTGTTTAAGCCCAATAGGAAAAAGGAAGCGCCCTTTCCGTCATCCAATTTCAAAAAGGAAAAAAATAAAAATAAAAACTCAACTTCACCCACTGCTACAACTTTTTAATTTTAATTTTAGTTTAAATGGCCGGAATTTGAAGGAATATATTTTGAAGCTTTAAAAATATGTTTAATTTAAATAAATTACCTTTTATTGTCATTTTAACTAATTGTTGTAAAATACTCAATAATAGTAAACTATAATTTAAATGCTTAAATAAATATAAATATGATATTTATTCTCATCATCAACGTGATAAAATACAAATATAAATAAGATTTTAAATACAACTATCATTCATTGTGTCTTGATTATTATAATTGAACTCTAAAAATAAGAGTTTTATAAATGAAAAAAAAATAGTAAGTACAATATTCTTTCATGATTACGAAATATTTTTCGTATTTGACTTACATTATTCTTTTTTATGATCTTGTGTTATGTAACAACTTGATTTGCATCAATTGACATATTCTTGGTATATCATGAAACTTTTCATTCATAACTAATTCGTATTAGTATAACAAAATTATATTTTTTAATTATGATAAACTAGTATAATAACATGTGACATGGATGATGTCAAGATTATAAGTTATTAAAAAATATATATAATTATTGTTTTAATATGTGTATCTATGATTAAAGATAAACTTAATTGAGTGTGTATGTCAAAGATCAAACACCCACTTTTAATTACTGCAGGTTTTCAAATTTTAAAAGCGCAAGAATTTATTTATTTATTTATTTTACCTCGAAACAGGCTAACTTAAGTTTTTTTTTTTTTTCATATTTGACATTGTTACTTTTTTTTCTAAAAAATCAAGATGGAAGATTCAACTTTATCATTATATTAATACATTCCAAAGTTTTAACACATTATGTCCAAAATATTATGTCAGACTTGAAAAGTATAATGATGTTTTTGTCTAATGAAATTTTACAACATAAAAAAATTATCAAGACAAAGAATGTGATGTTAATTTCACATTAAAAAAAACAAAAAGTAGAATTTTCATATCAAAATAGTAAGAATACAGATTAAGCAATAAATTTAATTTTAAATAAAATCATTAAAAGGAAGAAAAAGTATAAGGAAAATATTATTTTTTTATATATATATATTATTTAATATAGATATAGATGTAAATACAAATCAATGAAAGCAGGTGTTAAGGAATTTGGACATCGACAAGCCCCGCTTTAAGTTATTTGGCTGTTTTGATTTTGCCTTTTCAGTTTTTGCTCTCTTGAATTAGTTTATTAAAAAAATAATTTTTTCACTTACTTTGTAAGAAATATTACAAGTGTTGTTCTTTTAACTTTAGTTTAAAAAGAATTATATCGGTACGAAAGATTTGATATAACTAAATTAATGTATTAAACTCAAAATCTAATTGTTCAAATGTTATATATAGGAGTTTAATTTTCAGTGAAAACAAATTTTATTTACTTTCAGGTTTAACAGGATCAGTTTTGAGCGATCATGACAGAAATATGTTAACAACAAACAAAGTAAAATGAATTAGATATATGAAATGTCAATTTTACCCTCAATTGTACTTCAACAAATGTTGACCCTCAACGAAGACCGTTTGTCAGCTGTGGGGGAGAAATTATTGTAACCTCGGGACAACCACATGTCTTTATGTATATATAATATAATAGTTAATAAGGTCATTAACTGTTACGTGTGCACATTTCATTATTATTTTATTCTTAATACTTTGATCATTGTTACTAGTACGTATTAATTACCTTTTAATTATTATGATTGATATGCTAATTGATTTTTTTAATATATTAATGTGAATATATATATTATGATCATTAGTAACTGTATTTCCAATAATAGTAATAACTACATGAATATATATATATATATATATATATATATATATATATATATATAATTTGTTATATTT